AAGCTGTGCCATAAGTTTCTGTAGCGCGGTGTACTCCTCTTTGAAATCTTCCACATGGTCAGCCGAAGCCATCTCGAACTGTTGGGCCCATGGCTGATAGAGCTCGAGTTGCTTGAGACTCTGTGTGACAATGGCTAGGTCACCGATTATCTTGGCCACGTGGGCCGATATGAGGGCGTCCGCCTTAGGTTCCGCCTGTAGCAGTCGCTCCAACTCATCGACGACGTTAGGCACGCGAACGAGAAAGAGGGCGTAATCATCTTCCCACAGTGTTTGCAACAACCAAATCAACTGTTGTTCTACCTTTTCCATCTTGAGCCCCGGGCAACTTCTTACGAATATCTTTGTCGAGTCAGGGTCAACAGGCGGCTCACGGACGAAGAATTTCCGCATCGGTGGAGAGGCTGTGGCAGCTACTTTGAGCTTGTCCAAGGGCCCCTTTGCCGTTTGCTCCAAGAAGTACTTGAAGCGGAGCAGAGAAACAAAGTACTCCTTCGGCAAGTCCTTGGTGGGCAGTATTTCCTTGTGAAACTTCTGCTGTAGCATGCTCAGGTTTTGGACTTGCCGATGAAGCTCGGTGAGGGACTCGAGATTCGCATAAGCATCTAAAAGCATACCAAAGGTTACCCGGGCCCAGAGAGTATTCTCCCGCAGCCTGTGAGTTGCAGGATGCGGAAGTCCCCTGGTATCAGGCAACATTTCTTGTCGGTGATCTTTGATCTCGCGGAACTGGTCAGCAAAGTAGGCAGGATCCTCACGAAGTGCCCACACGTGATCTTCTGCTGCTGACATCTTGGCTTCGAGAAGAGACGTGAGTCGTTCGAGATCAAGTCTTGCCGGTAGCCTGTAAGGCGCTTCCGCAGCCATTGATGCCAATGATATGAAGCCGGAAGCGTCGCTGTCCGTCTTCAGAAATGGCTCGGGCTGGATGCTATACGCGCTACTTGCGATGGCGTCGGCGGAGATCTCGTGGAGGACTTCGTGACAAAAATCAACGAGGAAGGGCATCAAGCGAGCCTGTGCCTCGAGAATAAGGAGGCCCTCCCCAGGGAGAAATTGTTTGCGTGTGTGCATCCAGTCAAAGGCATCTGGGTGCGAATCCCAATCAAGAAGCTTTCCATATCCCTCAGCTGTGGTGGCGCCATGCAATACCATCGTGTGAAGGTTAAGAAAGATAGGAACCAGTGCCTTTGTCACTTTGCCTAGATGCATTGCGTCGTTATCGGCCGCCGCAAAGGCCGGGGGCGGACGACGGCCTCTGGCATTCAGCAGCAAGAGCATAAGCTTAGGCTGTGATAAGTCCTCCTGGTTGATGTAGGGCCACATGTAGTGGTCTTTATACTTTGAGCCTCTCTCTCTTTCTTCCTTTGATTCTCTGCGAAAGGCCTCGAAATCAGGACGATGAGAGGCAGGCATTGCCGGCCAAGCTTTGAGGAGAATTTGAAGTCTCTGCTGCCGAGTCTTCTTGGTCCACCTTTTCTGAATCGTGGCCTCATGCCTCTCCAGAATTTGCTTTAGGAGATGGTGGCTTGCAAAGACCTTGGTCGAGTATTCTCCAGCCTGTCGCCGAACCTTGGCCGGAGAGGGAAGTTCGGGCATTGGGCCTCCCATAGCGGTAAGGAATTCAACGGGATTGGACCAGTCAATATCAGGCAGAGAACCATCTTGACTGTCGAAATTTTGGCCCTCTTCTGAGAAGGGGTCAAACTGGAAATCTCGTCTGAGGTCCATGGTTTTGTTTTGGTAATGAGACGCTCCCAAAGCAGATGGGGGATAAGGCTTGGAGGCGGGGATGAGAGGGAGATACGGGAGGTCACGTGGTGTGGAGTCGTTCTTGCTAGTACGGAGGAAGTTCGGCGGCGCCAGTGGGGCTCGGCATTTGAAATACGAGGATGGAAGCTTGTCCTCCGGTCCTCCCTCCCTCACCCATCTCAGAACATCCCAGGCCCTCTTTTATGATATATTGTGCACAGGCATCGGCGATCGCGAATACCAGAAACTCTAACTTCCAGAAAAAAACGTTCTGTTGTCTAAATTTTCTAGTCGTACGGCCTGACTCCCGATTCCGGACCTCGGCTATGAAGAACCTCCGGCCGTCATCAACCATGTCGAACACCAGACCCCCTGCGCCATATTCCCAATTCGAAGCGTTGTATTCAACTCAGATACAGGCGTCTATCCATCTGATATATCTGATATTTCTTGCGCAGCGAGCGGCTACCCTAGAACTGCCGGATCATCTATTTGTTCCGGCTCCGCACAACCTTCCTTTGTGTCGCACTTAGCGTGCTTAAAGGGTTAACGTAAATGTGTTGAGCAGCAGCAAATGTGTCGATTGATTGTTGTTTTAAGTTATCTCTTGTGCGGGGTATTCCATCCCGCACAGTTACTTAAAGCATATAGCTAGATTACTAATACAGTTGTTTCCTGAGGCCGTGAAGATCATGCCTACCCTGCGACACTTTGACATCACACTTTCTTGGCATACAAGTGTTAAGAAAGTGGCCCTGTCTACACCTAAATCCTTAACAAGTGCACAACAAACGCCTCAACTTTCGCTTTGCGCAGTCGCTAGCCGCGGCGATGGCTTCGTCTATGACGATCCCGCCAGCTGCCCCGGACCCCTTCGATCTGGGGATCCACACTCCCGCCAATCTGAACCAAGGAGCCCGTGCAGCCCTCTTGCAGAACAGCCCTGCGGCCGTGAACGGCACCATTGGTGTTTCACCCTGTCCCAGGCGGATGGCTCAGACATCATCCTCACCACTCAATGCCGCTACCACCGCTGCGGCCAGCGCTCATCATATGTCAACTCAATCAATCAATCACCCCAATCAAATCAATCAAATTGTCGAATTCTTCCTTTCAACCAAATCAATTCATACATTTCGTAAGTTGAAATAATTGATATAACGTGCATGATAAGCGAGTGCTCCAGACAAGCGAGTGCTCCAAAAATCCCTCAATCTACACTATCACTATTTAATCAGATATTTCTCAACAACCCAATATGCCACAGTCTTCAAATGAAGCTAAGATTATTCTTGCCCTTCAGGCCCTCCAGAATGACCCAAAATTAAGTCTTCGAAAGGCCGCAGCTATATATCATGTTGACCGCTTTGCCTTACGTCGCCGCCAGCGAGGCATTCTTTCAACGCGTGATACTCCTACAAAGTCACGGAAACTATCTGATCAGGAAGAGCAGATAATAGTCCAATTCATTTTAGACCTAGATTCGCGAGGATTTCCCTCGAGCCTATCATATGTGGAAGATATCGCGAATTCTCTACTTGCCAACCGCGACGCGCCACGCGTCGGCAAGCGCTGGGCTCATAACTTCGTCAAGCGACAACCAGAGCTAAAGACACGTCCATCTCGGAGGTATGACTATAAGAGAGCTAAATGCGAAGACCCGACTATTATTCGTGGCTGATTTCGGCTTGTAGAGAATACAATCGCGAAATACGGTATCCGATCAGATGATATCTGGAACTTTGATGAGACCGGCTTTATGATGGGCGTGATTGAGCCCGGAACAGTCGTCACAAGCTCCCACAGGCAAGGAAGACCAAAGCAAGTACAGCCTGGAAACCGCGAATGGATTACTGTAATCGAGGGGATTAATGCCGAAGGTCAATCGATCCCGCCGTTCATCATTGGTGCAGGCAAGGATCACCTTGCCAATTGGTACCAAGAATGCGACCTCCCCGGCGATTGGGTTATTGCATTGAGCGAGAAAGGATGGACTGATAATAAGCTGGGTCTCGAGTGGCTAAAGCACTTTGATCGGGCTACAGCTAAGCGAACGAACAGTCGCTATCGCCTCTTGATCCTTGATGGTCACGAAAGTCACCACTCTATCGAATTCGAAGAATATTGCAAGAAGAATAAGATTATTACGCTCTGTATGCCTGCTCATGCCTCTCATCTACTTCAACCTCTTGACGTAGGGTGCTTTGGGCCGCTGAAAAAGGCATATAGTCGACAAATAGAGCATCTGATCAGATGCTCTATAACTCATATCTCCAAGACCGAGTTCTTTCCTGCCTTTTATGCCGCCCACCAAGCTGCTATTACAGAAAGCAATATCAAGGGAGGGTTTAGAGGAGCTGGGCTTGCTCCCTTTGACCCAGAAAATGTCATCTCAAAGCTTGATGTGCAGCTACGGACTCCGACGCCTCCCGTAGAGGTCACGATACCATCGACCCCTTGGACTGCAAGGACCCCAAAGACATCACTAGAGGCCCAATTGCATTCCAAGTATCTACAAGGAAGGATTAGAAATCATAAGAGCAGCTCCCCTGAGTCAATAATTGAAGCCGTAAAGCATTTTGAGAAGGCAACAACTGTTCTTATGGATAAGATAGTCTTACTATATGATAGGGTTCGACAACTTGAACAACAGAATAAGACAGTAGGGCGATGCCGGAGGGGAAAAAGGACTAGGATACAGAAAGAAGGGGCTTTAACTTTAGGGGAAGCATCACAAGCAATTGATCAGATGGATGTTAATATGCAGGTTATAGCTGAATCGTCAAGAAGTGGTGGTCGCGAGAGGTCACAAGGACCGAAGGTTCGGCAGTGTAGTATTTGCGGAAAGACCGGGCATAATGCAAGGACCTGTCAAGAGGCAATTGAGGTCAATAGGGAATAATATAGTATTTAATTTTAATTGATCAGATAGATTGTGGTGTTTTTATTACTCTTTTTAAGTCTTGAGGTGTAGATTGGTGGAGCACTCGCTTGTCCGGAGCACTCGCTTATCATGCACGTTATTACAAATGCATCATGCGATTATCTAATATCGAGGCAGAAATTCAGATCTTCCCGGACCACTACCCTACACCAGATAGTCACAGATGGAGGTCTACTTTCTAATAGCGGTGGGTCAGCCCCAAAACCAAGTATCTACTATCGTGTTCTAACGCGTAGCCCCACCACGCGTATGCAATCTGGAACGCGTTTCCCAACCATGTCGCGCCACCGAGACCAACCCTTCATCGCCAGCTGGCTTTCCGCCAGCAACGTTAACGCCTTGCCCCACACCTCCCTCTTCCGTCTTCTCACGATTGTCTCAGCCTAAGACGGTTGCCAAGCAGTTGGAAGAGGCAGCCGTTGCAGCTTTACCTCCTAACCCCACTATCTCCTTGACAGTCATAAGGCACAAATACATTGCATGCAAGGGATCGACAGGGATGTCATCCAATTATAATTTAGTAAAATTATGGTACTTCCTCCACAGGCATTTCTTGCCTATGATAAAAGTACTAACGTTCAGGCTGTTTACAAATAGCTACATCATAACAGTCACAACCCAACTGCGTATTACTGTCGACCTTCCTGCGTGCGGCCTGCGGTTGAGGCTATCGTCAGATGCCATATTCAACAGAGCCCGTTTTTTCCGGCCCTTTTGAGAGCTACAGGATCAAGGGACAATTTGAATGCCCTGACATCCTCGGCAACGCCCTTGTTTCTTCGTCAGAATGAACGTTATAGAGTTTTTAGTGGAGAAAGTTTTGAAGTTACCTGAAGTACTGATATTATGACTAATCTAAAGTGGGTCGGCGATGTATTTGTGCCTTATGACTGTCAAGGAGATTGAAGATCTGCCCAAGATTACCTGGAAGAACCGTCACTTCGTCCAAGAGGATTCGCTGGCTCGAAAAGGTGCAAAGGGCAGGAAGAGCTGGATTAGGTCGCACGGGACCTTCCTTGTCGAACTGAACTATCAGGATCAACCGATAGGTCATGTCTGGTGCTGCAATCGATGTGACATGAAAGGCGCAGCGGAGTTCTTCTCGGTGCAAGCCACGTCTTCCGCAGCAGATCATCTCCGAAAGCATATATCTGTCCCGTTCAATATTGTTCACAAGATACCCAGCAGCTGACCGACCTGCATAGAGCTCACCGGATCACCCCAGCCAGCCAGTCTAGTGAGCCAAGTCCTGGTGATAAAAGTGCCATTGATATTTATTCTGGTGCAATACCCAAAAGGCGCCGGCTTGAACAGAGCGTCATAGCAAAAGCGAAAATAAAAGCCATACAAGAACTAAGCGTTGGGTTCGTCATTGATGGCGATGTGCCATTCACCATCTTCTAGCACAGCTTCCTTCGGAAGATCTTCAACCATTTCGACAGCGATTTAGTGGTCCAGATGGCGTGGAGTGGTAGCTCTATCACTAAAGAGATACACCGGCTCTTTGAAGCGAAGCGAGATACCATCAAGGCAGAGCTCTGTAACGCGTTGACAGCGGTGCACATTAGCTTCGATCTCTGGACGTCACCGAATCACTTTGCAATCATGGCTGTATTTGCGCACTTTATCGATCAACTGGGGCATCAGCAGTCCCGTCTTCTGGCTTTGCGTCGTCAATCTGGCGCTCATAGTGGCGAGAACCTTGCCGGTTCTCTGGTCGACATCGTCCACGAATGGGAGATTGAGGGGCGAGTTGGCTGTGCCATCTCCGATAACATGGCGGCAAACGATACTTGTCTGTACCACATGTACCAGCAGCTCGATCCATCGATGAGGCCTGTTGATATAAAGGCCCGCCGGATGCGATGCTATGGGTACACGCTCAATCTCGTCACGCGAGCCTTTCTCTTTGGCAAAGACACCGACTCGTTCGAGCTGGAGCCTGACATCAACAGCATGCGCGGCCTTATTGAGCAGGACCTGGATCTTTGGCGCACAAAGGGCCCCATTGGTAAGCTCCGCAATATTGTCAAGTTTATCCGTTCGTCGCCGCAGCAGAGTGAACAGTTCAAGCGAATTGCCCAGGAGCAGGAATACGAGGGATATCGGCTCTGCGAGGAATCCACGGCCGAGCTCGAGGTTGTCATGAACAACGAAAAGCGGTGGAACTCAACGTACATGATGATTGAGAGGGCTTTGTGAAAGCAGGCAGACATCAGGTCATTTCTCTTCGCGATTCAAGTTGGAGAAAAACGAGGCAAGACGTATCCCGGCGGATGACATTGTCCAGCGAAGACTGGCGAGTTCTTGGCGAAGTGAACGAGATTCTCAAACCTATATACCTTCAGACGATGCGGACGCAAGGATGGGGTAAAGGTGACAGCCATGGACGCCTATGGGAGGTGTTGATAGGAATGGAATATCTGCTGGAGCACTTTGAGGACTGGAAAGTCTTCTATAGTGAAGTTGCGGCGGAGACAGTGGGTGAAACTCAAGTGGATGCCCGTGGAGCGGATTGCAACGGCGTCAGCAAATCTCCGAGAGTCCAACGGTCGGCCTGCCCCGCGTGCCGTCTCCCTGCCCGCTTTGGCGAGAATGAGGTTTACGCGCTACCACAGCGGAGTCAACCTCCGAGATTCGTAGAATCTGCCTTACCGTTGCATTCTCGGGCTGATCATTCTACGGCGGAGAAACGATCAGCGTCCGAGACGTCGCAAAAGAGCACATTACCAGCGGACCACCGAGCCTATATCCGGGCATCAATCAACAACGGGTGGAAGAAGCTGAATGAGTATTATGACAAGCTCGGAGAATCTCCCTTGTTTGCGGCAGCGATCATTCTTTATCCGAGGTTCGGGATCAACTGGCTGGAGGCTACTTGGGTCTCTGAGGAGCAACTCGCCTGGTTTCGTGATGCCAAGTTTGGAATTAAGGATTACTTCACCCATTAGTACGACGCGAGCCAGGGACTGTGCGAGGAAACAATGAAGTACAACACAACGCCAAGGACAATGGGTCAGGGCTCAGGAGGATGAGCAGTACACTCAATGGATTAATAGCAAGACGAAGAAAGCGCTTGCGACGTGTGGCAGTATCGGCGAGCTCGAAATGTATCTCCGTCTCGAGCCACAGGATACACAGGATGCTATCCAATGGTGGAGAGACCACAGGGCTTCGTTTCCTTCACTGAGCAGCTTTGCTCTGGATGTCTTTGCTATTCCAGCGATGGCAAGCTATTGTGAGAGGCAATTTAGCCTAGCGAAGCTGACGTTGACGTCTCAGAGGCTCTCGATGGGCTCGGGTACGTCGGAACGCGTTCAGTGCCTCAAGAACTGGGTCAGACACGGCGGGGTAAAGCTGGGTAGCTGGGTCGGTAACTGACCTTTGGGATACATGAGGGATGGCTTCGCGTTGGGGTCTCCACCCACGGAATTGATATAGTGCATCAATCAAATCAAACAAATCAACTTTGAGCTCGAGGGCTGTCAATCAAATCAACTTTGACCCAAAAGTTGATTTGATTGACATATGATGAGCGCTGACCTTGGATGTGGCGAGTTGTTTTGGAATCCCTCACACTACGGCCGAAACGGTTTACTTTCAAACGTTGCTAATCCATCATATAATAGAATACGCCATGGGATTACCTGTAGGAGCGTCGCACTATACGATTTGGCGGCGCATAGGGAGATTGGCACTTTGCTACTTGAGAAGATAAAACTTGTGATCTAGAAAGTTAAGTCGGTTTCCATTCATTGCCTAACAGGCCGAGTTATACTAATGAGCTGTTACTATTCCTATACAGTTGAGAGAGCACTATCTCTACCTTATATCCATAAAACCCATCAAATACTTGCTATTAGATAAACGGCCTGCGGTACCCTCGCTTAAAGGCTGAAGTGGACGTCTGGGAGTAGCAGGATACCCAAACTGCTTGTTAAGCAAGTACTTTAACCCAGCCACCTTGAATTAAATGTTAGCATGTTGTGTACATCTGTTAGTATGTAACGATGAGCTAGAATGCTATTACTCACGCCGCCACTTAACAATTCCGCTTCGGCTAAGGAGGCTTTCTCCTGGAGTAACCTGGCTGTCGCCCAATCTGCAGCACAATCCAGGCTTTGTGTACTACGCCACAACTCCATAGCAAAATCCTATACTTAGTGGTAAATATTTTTCTAAGAATACTACCTGCAAATGGTACCTACTGGTACAATGTTCGGTAAGGGGCTGATAGCACCGGCGGACCCAACCGAAATAGACGGAAGTAAGAAGTCGATGAACCCGGCGATTGTCTTGAAAGATTCGTCCAGAAGGCTTGTAATCCTCGAGACCTTTCCAACATTACCACAGCTATAAGACATTCTTAGCAATCTGAATAAGTTCTGAAGGACTAGTCGCTACCTACGATAGCATGATGCCGCATATGTTTGGTGCAGCCCTTGCAATGTCTACAATGTCGTCACTGGTTAGGTCGATACCGCCTGCAACTAACGGAAAATTGTAGATAACTCTGATTTGACCAGCATCCTTGTTAGCTGATCGTCCCTTTCCGTCCCATACCTAATACTCGGAAAGACCTGTAGGTAGAAGTGGAGTCATCTCCCGAGGCATACGTACATTGGCAATGGCGATTTTAAGGCCACATCGATGAAAAATGTCTTGATCGCAATCGGGTTCGCCTTTAATGCACTCGCATAGTAGCTTGGCGCTATGACGAGTACAAATTCGGCACCAGCAGCCGCCGCATCTTTTGCAAGACTAATAGTCTCTCGAGTGCTTGTCGCACCTACCCCTGCTACGATTGGCGTCCGGTGCAGGCCGTTTTCATCAAGCGCGGACCGCAAAGTCCGGATTAGTTGTATGCGCTCTTGGCGATCCTACAGTTATTGTTAACAAGCTTTGATTCGCCCAACCTGTAGGAATCTGCACACACCAAATGTGCGGCCTCTCCCATTGTAGCGGAGACAACAGGAATAACCCCTGGTTTAGCAACATCTATCATTGCCAGGTTAGCAAAATTTGTTCTTAATTAGTCTATACATATATTAGCAGGAGAAAATAATATCTTATTACATATAGCATGCTCTACGTAGGCTTTGAGGTCTAGCTGAATGTTAGCAAACCCCTAAACTCTGATTTATAATTCGTCCAGTATAAAACGCGGAGTATACTTCCCTAATTCATCCGTATTACTAAAAAATGCTGGTAGAGGAGCGTAAACCCCCGATGGAAGAGGCTTTGCCATGGTATATCAAATTGTTTAGTCGTAGTTTGATAAGAAAAGAGTTATCTTCTCGGCTTTAGTTGGTGTGTGCGATCCTGTAACAACTGTTGCGACCTAAGTATTTATAGAAGTATCATAACTGCCTATTAATCACATTAATATCTGTTACGGGCTAGGGGCCCGGGCTACGCCGGGTCCTGCGGGGTGCAGTGGACCCTTTCCCGGAGGCCAGCCAGACAACATGCAGCCCTGAACCTTCTGCCGAAGGGTCCTCGAGAACACGTCAGACCTCTGTAAGAGTCTCTTATAGAGTTTCCACAGAAAGCCCCTTCAGATTCAGGGCCACCTGTTCATTAGCTAGGCAGAGGTATATCGAGGGTTTCCTATTACAAACTCCTCTCTTTCTTCTTTTCCTTCATGCGTAGATAGACAGTTCTAGGCCCCCTTCTCATTGTAATAGACAGATGCCCAGCCTTTCACAATATCTTCGTAATACCCTACAAATAGAGTTGTTCATCAATAGCCTACCCCGCTAAGGAACGATTAAGTAGCACATACAACTTCTCGTAAGCTCGTTCTACCGCTGTTGAAATGGGAAGATTCAGGTTTCTTAATTCATTCAAAAAATGCAGTAGGAGAACTACTGTTTATGTACAGGCACCACCTCCGTGGAATGTTCCACCTTGTTTCACACCTTGCCACCGACTTGGTCGTCTCACATTTGTGATCTCCAACACTCCCACTCGAGCAAGACGGTGGGTACCTGGACTTATCTAAGATCTCAGCAACCTCATTAAAACCTTAAAACACCTTCGTGGGTGAAAGAGGAAAGAGTGTTGCTGAACCCGTCAAGGCTCGGCACAGTCCTGGGCACGTAGGGAATATTGTCTTAGATATGACAAGAATCCCACTGCAGCCCATATCTGTGTCATCCTCGATGAGCGCTGTATGCGCTTCTCATACTTCCCGGCCTCAGTCCACTGAATACAGCCCCCGAGCCTTTGACTTCATCTTTTGCCGGATCCATTACGCCGTGTTAGCAGCGCTCTCGGCCGTGTTAGCAGCCTCCTGTCCTTGGTGCTCGTTGGCAATACTGCGGCTGCTAGCAGTACCAAGGTTCCATGGCCAGTTCGGGACTTGCAACCCATGCGACTTTAAATCTTCTTTTGCCGGGTCTATCACGCCGTGTTAGCAGCGC